CTTTTAGTTCTCCTTTATAGAGTTAAATCATTATATATTTTTTCTGTTTATGTGTGTAGGTGGGTTATATTATCTATGAATTTCATTTTGGGAAAGTAAAGACTGTTTTAGAAAATATCTGTTATAAAAAGGCAGCCTTCGGTCTGATAGGGCTGAGAAAATACTGAATTTGGGGATCAGGAGAACTGCTTTTCCTCTAAATAGAAGCAAATACTTGGGTACTTTCCTAGCAAATATTAATAAGGTTGTGGACAGGGAAAAGGGGGAGAAGGGAGAAAATTGTGTATCAGTCTAACTTAAGGATGGTTTTATGCTCTTATTTTAAGAAAATGCATTTTGTTCAGAGAGCACGGGCTCTTGAGTCAAACTTCTTGGGTTTGAATCATGGGTCTACCACTTTCTATGTCATTTTGCGTAAATGACTCAGTTTCTCCTTGCCTAAGTTCCCTAAAAAGTAAAATAAAGGTTATAATAGCATCACCTCACGGGGTTCTTATGGGAACTAAATGATACGATACATGGAATGGTGTTTATAACAGTCTGGTACACTAAAAGCAATAAATAAGTGAAAACTATCCTTAATTATAATCAGAAAACTATCTTTCTGCAAAATGAAAATGTCTGAACTTCTGCTAAACTCCTTGCCATCTGAGAAATCATTCCTGAAGATCTATGATGTGTTGATATCATAGAGAATAACTTCATGTTTTTCTGTGGATCTTTTCCCATAGAACCATATTAGAAAAGATTCAACTATATTTTGGGTAATTAGATTTATTGCCAATTGCCACAGAAATGCTCTGTAACATACAATATATCGTATATTCCATAGTGCAAAAGGTAATACATGAGGCATAGCCAAAATACATTCCTCCATCAAATAAAATACAGTGTAGACAAACTATTAGGTCATTGGAGGTTTTATTTTATTTACATTAACAAATATCATTAAGAATCTACTAAAGTCCAAGCCAAATGCTATGCTGAGTAAATGCAAAAGCGGCAGCAACTATGCCCCTATCCGATGGGATACTGCTGGGATGATGAGACTGACATGTATAAAGCAACCAGAGTCACTAGGAGGAAAAGTATAATTAAGTGCTAAATTGCATCACACAGCTTATAATGAACTCATAAAGAGTTGTAGGCATTCAGGGAAGGAAGATAAATGAGTAGGGTAGTGAAGGAAAGCTGCACCCAGGAAAAGAGAGAAAGAATTTAGCCGTTATTACATGTATGACCTTAGTTGAGTTAGTTAACCTTTCAGCTTTACTGTTTCTTTTTTTAATAAAATTTGACAATTTAATGCATGTAAAATGCCTAGCATATTCTAAAGTAAGATAGGTTTGAGGTGGGTCTTAGAGAATGGGCTGTATTGGTCTAGAAAGAGAATATCTCCAATAGCAGCATAACCTGTGTCATGTAAAAGAGACACATATCCTTTTCAAGACTTCTAGGTACAAAAAAAGAAAAAAATTCCACAGTTAATAGCCCTACTATAATAAGAACAATTTTCTTTTTTGTTTTGTCTTTTTCGTGACCGGTAAGGGGATCGCAACCCTTGGCTTGGTGTCGCCCGCACCACGCTCAGCCAGTGAGCGCACCGGCCAGTCCTACATGGGATCCGAACCCGTGGCGGAAGCGCCGCTGTGCTCCCAGCGCTGCACTCTCCTGAGTGCGCTATGGGCCGGCCCAAGAACAATTTTCTATGGCAAATAGCAACTACTTTTTTTTTTCCCTGCATGGTAAAATAACTCCTTGAGCACGTGAGCCTTGGTGCAGGTAGAAATCCTAGACAGTTCCTCCTTTCAAGCAAAGACTCTTTCTTTAAAAAAAATATGGCATAGAGTATGTATATCTTTTTAAAAATTATTTTTATTTTTATTTATTTATTTATTTATTTTAAAGATGACCGATAAGGGGATCTTAACCCTTGGCTTGGTGTTGTCAGCACCACGCTCAGCCAGTGAGCCAACCGGCCATCCCTATATAGGATCCAAACCTGTGGCCTTGGTGTTATCAGCACCACACTCTCCCAAATGAGCCACAGGCCGTCCCCCATATCTTTTTTTTTCTCTAAAACCCTTGCCCTTCACCAGCCTTTCTCCTGAGTACTTATTCAAAAGCGATCATAACCTGAGCTCTCTATCACTTATAACGAAGAGTTATAATCACAATCACTTCTCTACCGTGATTTTCAGACAATTAAAATTAGAATAAATTTGTTTTTTCTCATTTTCTATATATATTCAACCAAATATTCCAAATCACAGCTTCTCAGATGTACTAACAAAAAGAGAAGGAAGAGTTTCTCCAAAGTGTTTCAGCTCTATCCAGGGAAATGACATTCAGTAAAGTACTGATTAAATTTGTATCATCTGTAAATAGTGTCTTTCCTAACATTATCATTTAAGAGCACTACTTATACTTGTAGACATCATAATGGCAATGTTGACAAATAAAGCCTTATCTTCCAGGACTGGTCAAAGTCTGGGACTCCTTTTTGCTTAAAAATAGAAGGCATATTGGAATAGTAAAAGTCTCCACTTCAGGCCAAATTAAATTACGCCATCTGTAATTAAATTATTCCAGTTCCAAGATAGAGGATGATTTCATGGCAATTAAAAAGAAGCAGTCCTTGTGGAAAGTTCCATTCTTCATTCTTATCTATACCAAATTCCATCCATGCATGATAGGAACTATACTCATTCCTTGCAGACGGAAATGAAGTAAGGTCTGGAATCATTACCTTGTCTTGTCCAGAAAGGACAGAAGAATTGGAAATACAGTGCTGGTAGTTTGAGGTTTTGCTATGTAAACTTACCCAAATATGTTGGTCTTTTCAGAGTTTTGTTTGTCATACAGTGTGACCACAAAATGTACATTATTTGTTAAACAAAAGTGTTTTCTCTGTGGTTTTCCTATGCTTTTAGAGGCTCTGATGCACATGTAGAAATTCCTTCTCTTGACCAGAACTTTGTTACTGTATACAGTAGAGCCATCCTCTGGTTTGCCAGTGGCAGATAGGGAGGACAGCAAGGTAACAATCTACATGCACCTTACTTTTCTTCTGCAAGTACCAAGTTGCAAACAGGAGAAACTATTCTGTTTACTTGCTCCTTTATTTAACACTTTAACAACTCATGGAATACTGTCAAAGCAATGTGCTAGGCATTAGGTAAACAGAGGTAAGCAAAACTGCAACCCTGTCCTCCTGCAGTTCACAGTCTTCTCAAATTATCATTTGTGGTATGTCTGGGCTTTAATTTTGTCTTTCTGTGTATTGCTTAAGTATATTTATGGTCTGAATATTCGAGAGACTCAAGCTGTTATGGACAACAGCTGTTGAGGTGGACCTCACAGGAAGCAACAGGCAAGGTTGTAGGGGCTGCTGTTAGAAACAACTTGATCCATGCATAGATGCAACCAAACCTTAACCCAAGGTGTGTTCATTTCACATTGCTTCTGAAACAAATTACCACAAACTTAATAGCTTACAATGACACAAATTCATTATCTTACAGTTCTGGGGGTTAGATGTCATAAAATAAAGGTGTTGGCAGGTGTTCCTTTGAAGGCTCTAGGGAGAATCCATTTCAATACCTTTCCTGCTTCCAGAGGCTGCCTTCACTCCTAGGATCCTGGCTACTTCCTCCATCTTCAAAGCCAGCAGTATAGCTCTGCTCTCTCTTTTTCTCTCTCACTTCTGCTTTGGTCATCACATCTTTTCTGACTGACACCCCTGCATCCTTCTTATTGCAGTTCCCTGGGACCCACCCGGATAATCCAGTATAATCTTTCCATCTCCAGATCTTTAACTTAATCATACATGCAAAGTCCCTTTTGCCACGTAACAGGTTCTGAGGATTATGACATGAACATCTTTAGGGGCCATCAGCCTACCACACAAGGCAAATCAAGTAGAAAAAAATGTTCGCCTCTTACATCTTGGGCCAACCAGCTGTATGTTGCATCTTGCAAATCTGTTTTCTACTTCACGGACATTTTGCTGATCCATTTTACCTGGCTTTTCCTCATAAAATGGGGGTGAATGGCCCTCCACTGATATTTTATCTAACTCTCTAAGAAAACACCAGTTTAATCCACAAGTCAACAAACTGAAACAATCAAAGAGACACCAAAGAGAGCTCAACTCTGTGAGCTGTTTGCCATGAATAGATACTTCATTAGAGCCAAACTTTCTTACTTTACAGAACTAAATACATTAATAAATCAATAGTTTTGGGGGCTGGAAGTAGCTATCATTTCCTCCTTCTTGCAGTGAGGGGGCATGGAGCAAGATTTAGCAAATTGATCCAGGCTTAATTCCTGCCAATACGTATTATACTGAAAGAAATGAAGTAAGGCCTGGATTCATTACCTTGGCTTGTCTAGAAAGGAGAGAATTGGAAACACAGTGATTATTTAACACTTATTTGACGCAGATTATAAATTGAGGACCAGCAATGAATAATATGCATCACTTTAGTGGTAAAAAGCAGCTGAGTAGCTTTTTCTCCCAGTAATGGTAGAGGCTAGAATTGATATTTTCATGTCACTTTTACTTAAGGAAAAGCAAACATTCCGCTATTCATCTTAGTTAAAAATAAAGAGAAGACTTTTGCTCTCAGCCATATGGAGCAAGAGTGTCGATTTAGTCTCCTACCTCAAAAAACATGAAAACCAGAAAAACATTTGTTTTCAGACACTCGATGGCAGTATTAAGACTGGGATCACCATACTCGCTCCAGCTTGCATACTGGGGGAAGTTTCCAGATGCAATGCAAGGAGAGTCGTCAGTGCCATTCGTCTCTGAAGACGACCTACATCTACTTATGTAAGTAAAATTACAATTCCAACTGGTTACATTTACAGAAGTAAAAGTAAGAGAACACTCCTGGCTACAGAGTACGGCGCAGAAAAGAGGGGCGCGGCAAATTCTCGCGATAGGGTGAGATCTACAGCCCTGACGTCACCGCCACAGAGACGCTCGCGAGACCAGAGGGTGAGCGGTGTAAGCGGCGGCTAGTCCCGAGCAAGGCTTCTGTGAGGAAAACAGGCGTTCATCTACCGTTGCTTTGTTACCATCATGAGCGACCTGGATGGGGTCGAGAGGACCTCTCTCCCCCAAACCCGCAGCCTCACTATTGCCGACCATGACCCGGGAGACTCGGACCCACACCAGTGCCTGACGCTCCGGGAGGGAACCGAGGCGACACAGGTGATGGCGGAAACGGGTGAGGGAAGCTTGGAGACCGTCGCGATCCCACCGCCTCAGCTTTCAGAGGAGGGGGGAGTACCGTCGGATCCCGCGGACTGTGGCCATACTACACTGACCCGAGTCGACGGGGGTCGCAGCCACGTAGCGACCAAAGGCGGGCAGGAAGAGGCTCCGCCTCCCACGGTGGGCCTGGAAGCAGCCTCTTTGTTGGCGGCAACTGACAGCAGCCCGGAAAATGGCTTTCAGGATGGGGGGAAGGCCCTAGAAGCCTGTGGCGCAGAGTGGTCGGGGTCTGAGGTGATGGCGGGGGCGAAGGCCGCGGAAGTGGCGACCGAAAAGAACGTCACCTTCCCTGTAGCAATGGATGCGGAGAAGAGGGCTGAGGTGGTGCTGAAGGAGGGAGTGGAAGAGGAGATGCAGGTGGAAGAGAAGCCCGTGGATGAAGAAGTAGAAGTGGTGGAGGAAAATAGAGTGGAAGAGGAGGTGAAGGAGGAGGCAGGGCCCTGGCCTCTGAATGTGGCTCTCCGCATGAATCCTCTGGAGGCCATCCAGTTGGAACTGGACACTGTGAATGCTCAGGCTGACAGGGCCTTCCAACAGCTGGAGCACAAGTTTGGGCGAATGCGTCGACACTACCTGGAGCGGAGAAACTACATCATTCAGAATATCCCGGGCTTCTGGATGACTGCCTTTCGGAACCACCCTCAATTGTCCCCCATGATTAGGGGCCAAGATGCAGAGATGTTAAGGTATATAACCAATTTGGAGGTAAAGGAACTCAGACACCCTAGGACTGGCTGCAAATTCAAGTTCTTCTTCCGAAGAAACCCCTATTTCAGAAATAAGCTGATTGTCAAGGAATATGAGGTCAGATCGTCTGGCCGGGTGGTGTCTCTTTCTACTCCAATCATATGGCGCAGAGGACGTGAACCCCAGTCCTTCATTCGCAGAAACCAAGACCTCATCTGCAGCTTCTTCACCTGGTTTTCAGACCACAGCCTTCCAGAGTCTGACAAAATTGCTGAGATTATCAAAGAGGACCTTTGGCCAAATCCACTGCAATATTACCTGTTGCGTGAAGGAGTCCGTAGAGCCAGACGTCGCCCAATAAGGGAGCCAGTGGAGATCCCCAGGCCCTTTGGGTTCCAGTCGGGTTAAACTTTGCCCTTGACAGTACTCCTGCACAAGGTCCCCTACCACCTCATGCTGGAACTGTGCTTGGGAAACAGCAATGGGTATGCTTTTTTTGTTTTGTTTTAATTTTTTGCTGACCTTTCTGCATCCTCTCTTCCTCTGGATATTCAGTTCTTTCAACCTCAAGATTGAGACTGTCGTGGACATGGTTCTCCACTTCCACATTGCCTTCATGCTATTCTGCATTAATACTGTGTGTTGCATGGCCACTGTTCACACTGCTTCTAAGCCAAGCAAATGATGCTGTAAGATTGCACTGCCTTTATCTACACTTCTAGGGGCCCTGTGTTCCCAGGGCCTCCGATCTGCTTACTGCCACCTGCTGTCTGCTGTGCATCTAGCAGTAGAGGCACATGGCCTGTGGACAGTTACTGGACATTAATGAATCAAGGAAGAGAAGCAATGGGGAACTTGTTCTATGTGATTTATGCTACTCCATCCTGCACCTCTGGTCACTTATTGCTGCCTCCCACTAGCTATGCCCACCTGCCTTGGTTTCTGCCAAGGTCCCTTTCTCTGTCTCTCCCCCCTTTTCTCCTATCTCTTAAAAAAAAAAAAAAATGACGGCTTAGGAACATCTGCAAAAGCAGGCTTTTTAGTTTATTTTAGTTGTTTCATTTACGGAGACAGAGAGGTTGTCCTGTAAAATATACTGTTAGAGCTCTTTTTGTCCTCTTTGCTCTCTTCCCAACACACCAGCCCCTTTAGCAAGTCCTAGAAGGTTTAAAGGAGACAGATCTAGATAGAATGAAAGGTGAGGTATAGTTTATAGTAGAGGGAAGAACTAAGAGATCGTGTTTGGTGCCCTTAGCAGGGGAAACTGAACAAAAAGCCTGAACAAGAGTTCTTTAAAGAAACACACACAGTGCAACTTTGGATGCTTTCTCTCTTGTTTTTATTTGGCCTAATTTATGTGAAGGTTAATACTGTGTCCTTATTTCACTAGTATTTAGTAAAATCTTATTTTCTGTGTTTCTACTTATTGGGAAAATTGAACTATACAATCTTTCTTTTGCTTTCAACTGGGAACATTTAGAAGAATAACAGTCTTAATTTGCTGTCCAATATAGAGACTTATGTGAATATTTATAACAGTTTTCAACTTGTTCTACTCTGTTAAACTGTATTCTTAGAAACATAGTTTGAATAACTTGGTGTCTACCAGACTTGTCAAATTGTTGTCTTCATGGAAAATTAATCTACAAAAATGTGTGGCTTGTTTGATTGTCTCACTTGGTAATTTGCCCTGGTAACAATTTAGTAATTGATGTGTCTCTTTTCCTAAATTGCATAAATACCTGTGAGAATACTCTGTCAAATTGGAAGTGTACCACTGGCATATTTATCTTCCTTTACTTGCATGATGGTTAAAATAAAAGCATGTCACTACTGGATTTCTTATTTTTCACCCTGCCCACAAACATGCTCAAATGAAATTTTTCAAGTTAATGAGAGATTATGGAGTCATTAAATTTCTTAAAAGGACAAAATAAGCATTATCCCAAAGGTAAGAAAATAGGGCACAGAACTATACCTTCCAAGGTAGGGAGGGTAATTATTGCTGTTGTTGTTTTCCTTTAAAATGTTAGCAATTGCAACTGCTTACTCATGATGTCACTTCTTTCCTCCATTTCTGTGTCCGTAAATGATATTCTCAGGTCATTCAGCCTCTTTCTTTTATTCACTTGTGCATTTAATAAGCAGACATCAGGGAGTATCTATCATATGTGATGTACTCTTCTATTCTTATACTTTCTGTAAAAACTTGTTCATTCTTGTCTTCAGACTTCACTACCACCCGTTTCTATCTGTCAAATCCTTCAAGGCCTGTCCTTGTTTTTGTTTTTGGCAGCTGGCTGGTTTGGGGATTAAATCTGTGACCTTGGTGTTACAAGCCTGTGCAAGGCTTGTCCTTGGTAACTCCTCTGCCTTGTAGTCTTTCTGTTCCCTGTAGGGAAGATAAAGTGTTTCTTTATGTACTTAATGTACTTTGTAGGAACCTCTGTTCTAGAAAGTAACACATAATTATTCATTATAGTGAATTCCACAAATATTTATTAAGGCATTCTGTTAGGCCCAGGGAAGAGAAAAAGAATAAGAGAAAGTCCATTCCCTTCATTGTTAAAGAATTGAGGAAGGGCTGTTATGCAAACAAACGGAGAATGATACAGTAAAATAAAATACAGAGATATATTTTCACACGATTTCCACATTTTCACTCTTATTAGTTTGAAAATTGAAAGTAAGCATGGAGTGCCTTTTACATCCCTCACTGCATCTAGTATAATGTTTTGTACATAGTTGTCAGCAGGTAAATATTTATTGAATGACAGAATGAATGAACAACTGAGATGGGGAAAAAGAACAAAATAACCTAGGGCTGAAAAATTTTTTTGTGTTTTTGTTGCGGGGAGGCTGGCTGGTATGGGAATCTGAACCCTTGATCTTGGTATAGAAAGAATTTTAATAAGATAATGGAAAGAAGAAATGGTTTTCAAGGCATTTGTAAAAATGATGTCAAAAAGGTTTGCAAAACCATTCCTAAATAACAGCAAAATTTCTCATTTTAGTAATTAGAAAAGTTTCAAACACTTAAACATTTAATCTTTCACTTGCCATTTTAACAGCATTACTTAATTTTGGGTCACCTTTTATGGTTTTGTACATTTTAAGGTGGTTATTACACTGGAAATAGGAGAGGGTTAGACTGTAGACATTTGCTGTCCAATACAGTAGTAGCCTTTAGCCACCAAAGGCTTTTGAGCATTTGAAATGTGGCTAGTCTAAACTTAGATTGTAAAAATATTGGATTTCAAAGACTTAGTATGGAAAAAAGTATAAAATATCTCAATTTTTTCATATTGATTGCATGTTGAAATAATATTTTTGATATTGTGTTAAATATTAAAATTAATTTTCCCTGTTTTTTCGTTGTTTAATGTGGCTATTAGTAAATTTTAAATTACATAGGATAGCAGGGCTCTAGACTTCCTGAAAGCATAAAATTCTAATTCTCAAAGCAAAATATTTGTAAAAATTAATCATGTTACTGCTTCCCATAAATTTTTTGTGACTCTTAAGACAAGGATTATCTGGCTAAAATTCAAGAGGGGTAAAGTAGAGCTAGAGGCCAATGTCTAAAAAGAGGGTAAAATATCTTTAATGAACTTGTTCTCAAGTACCTAAGATATACTGAGTACTTTGCAAAATGTAATGTGCATCACTTTCTGGATACGGATAGGGTAGATTTGGGTGCCAAATTGACACATCTTTATGTTAAGTTTCTAACAACATTAAAGACCTATAGATACCTATCCTTTCTAAAAGAAAATTCTCAGTATTTTTTAGTTTACAGATGTACATGATGCTCAGGAAATAAAATAATTTCAGTCATTAAATATACTTTTGTGTATCTTTACATAGGCTCCATATTTTAACAGCTGGCTAGGAACAGAAGGGGAATGTATCTGAATCCAGCATTGCATCAAGTGAATTCAATAAGTGCTCACCACTTGAAGAAAGTGCATACTTTATATTTGAAAATTAGTGGCCTTGTAATTATGGCAATTTTGCCATAATTTCTTTTTGGATACTATCACAAAGTATTACATGGAATAGTAAAGCAGAGGTTGTTCTTGTCCTTGAGGAACTCACTCTAATTGAGGGGGTACCATTCCTTGGATATTTCCTCCTTTTCTCCAGCAAATGCACACACTAAAGTCAGCCATCGCACACAAGCAAACTCAGATGGGACCAACCTGGCTGAGAGGAGGTGTCAGACATAATCAGGACCAACTTCCCCTCCCTCAATATTAATATATAATTGAAGTACTAGACTGTATAGAAGTGACAGGCTCTTTATCCATTTGTTAGTATGGGGGGGTGTTCTACTTGAGAGCAGTAGTTTCTTCATGTTTACTTTAAATGCTTTGAGCTCTGAAGGGCCACCTTGGTCCGTTTCCTATGACCTCAGGGATTCTTAAAACCTGAAGAAGAGTTTCCATCAAGCCACATTAGGAAAAATGTGGATGTCTAATTTTGGACTTCACTTTTTTAGGATTTGCTTTTAAGGTAATTTTCTTGACAACAGGCAGGAGGAAATGGTTCAATTAAAAATGAAAGGCCCTGTTAACACCAAGGTCAAGGGTTCATATCCCCATACCAGCCAGCCACCACCCCCCACCACCGCCAAAAGAGCATCACTTAGGTACATTAATTTTTTAAAATATCCAGATGTCTTAGAAATGGCCTGATGAACAGGGAAGACACATTACATGTAAACTGGGATTAAATTCCAGTTTTACAATTACCACATAGTGCATTAGCCAAAATAAACTACTCTGAGCCTCAGTTTCCTTATCCATAATGTAGGGATTATAATACCTGTATTATAAGCTAATGTTCTAGGATGCATTTGGAGAATGTATTATTAGGTTGTAGAGAGGATAACAGTAACAGCAAACATTTGAGAGCTAACTACATGCCCGACACCATGCTAAAAGATTCCAAGGATTAACATAGTTGTAATAAGAGGTTTGACTGAAAACACCAAGCACAATGCCTGGCATATAATATGTAATTAATATTAACTTCCACTTGTCTTCCTCTCAATTTAAATTTCTCATTTAATTTACATCCAGACACAAAGTCATCTAGTTTCATGGTTCTCAAATCTGGCTGCTCATTATAGATGCCAGCTTTGAAAAAATACTGATGTCCAGTCTCTACCCCAAATCCATTAAATTAGATTAGACCCTAAGGTGCAGCCAAGCTTGAGAATCATGAATAACCCTCTCCTTGAACTCAAGTGAGATAATACCCACTCTCTTCCCAATTTTGTCAAATTGACTCAGAAATTCCACGTTATAACATCCAGCTATTCCAAAGGGCCTGGCATGTAGTAGGCTCTCAGTACATATGCTCTATATTTTGTTCCTATTCTTTTGCAGAATGGTATTAACCATTAAGAGCTCTTCAAGTCCATTAACAGATGTCCTTTATCTTTCAAATTCCCTTGTAAAAAAAGACGTGACCTTTCAGTGATCTCCTTTACTTCTACTATTTGCCCTTCCAAAGTGTCTAAATATGTTATTAGATTTTTGGTATGTTGGGTATAATTTACATACAGAGCACAAGAATGTTCATAGCAACTTTATTCATTATAGTCCCAAACTAGTAACAACCCAAATGTACAACAAATTAATAAACAAATTGTGTATTCATACAGTGGATCACCACTTAGCAGAAAAAAGGAACAAACTATTGATCATGCAACAACATGGATAAATCTCAAAAACATGTTAAGTGAAAGACACCAGACAAAGGAATACATATGATGGTACTTCAAAAAGTTCATGGAAAGATTCATACTACCTTTTTTTCACGGCTAGCCAGTATGGGGATCCAAACCCTTGACCTCGGTATTACTGATACATGGAGCGCCACCGCGCTTCCCAAGCGGCGCACTTATCCAGTGCGCCACCGGGCCGGCCCCATATGATCTTTTAATTACATTTTTCCATGAACTTTTTGAAATACCCTCATGCTTTATAATTCCATGCATATGAAGTTCAATAGCATGACAAACTTCTGTATGGTGAGTGAAATTCAAAGTGTTGTTGTCTCAGGGTCTGGGGGAGTAACTAGAAAGAAGCTTGGGCAGATTTTCTTTTTTTTTTTTTTAAAGATGACCGGTAAGGGGATCTCAACCCTTGGCTTGGTGTTGTCAGCACCACGCTCAGCTAGTGAGCCAACCGGCCATCCCTATATAGGATCCGAACCCGTGGCCTTGGTGTTATCAGCACTGCACTCTCCCGAGTGAGCCACGGGCCAGCCCTTGAGCAGATTTTCAAGGGTAATAGTAATACTCCATATTTTGATTTGGGTGATGATAACAGAGGTGTACCCATTTGTCAGACATAAAATTATATACCTAAGATTTATGCATTTTAGTTTAAGTAAATTATACCTCAATAAATAAGATGTTTAAATATCGTTGATAGGGCCAGCTGTGGCTCACTCGAGAGAGTGTGGTGCTGATAACACGAAGGCCACGAGTTTGGATCCCATATAAGGATGGCCGGTTAGCTCACTGGGTGAGCATGGTGCTGACAACACCAAGTCAAGGATTAAGATCCCCTTACTGGTCATCTTTTAAAAAAAATAAAAAATAAAATAAAAAATAAATAAATAAATATTTTTGAGAATTCAAAAACTGGAACTCCATTTGCCTATCTCCAGTTTTTATGGCTTCTCTCCCCCTGTGGTTAAAGAAAAGTTGCTGTGTCTACTTGCAAGACTATATTTGCAAGTTCTCACTGTTGTTTTGCTTATAATTTCATTTATATTTCCAACCTTGGAACTACTTTTTAAACTTACACTCCCTCAAT